ACGCCATCAAACATCTGGGTGGTGTCACGGTCCGGATCGTCGCGCCTGTTCTACAGTTCCCCGGTGGCGAGGTCGAACCGGGGTATAATGTGTCAACCAGGACGAATGGCGTCGATCAGCCGCGTTGGCCGGATGATCTTGGCGTGGAAGTCGTTGCCTGAGTGAGAAATTCGTGGCATTAATCTACCCCAGAAAAAAGGGAGAAGGAGATTTCGGCAAAGTCAAGCAAGGCAAAAACGAAGCAAGATGGAGAAACGCCAGAATTGATTCAATTGACAATACCTGGTTTTGCTTGGTCGGTGAGTTCTTACATCCTCCTATCAGGAGAGTCCATGGATGATACCAGAGTGTATGGACTTTGGACATGATTCTTGTATTCAAGTGGCAGTTCACGAGTACATATTACAAAAACAGATCCCGATGTGTTGATTTCCCGTCTTTGCCATATATCTACGATTTTCGTTCCAGAAATGGAGCTAGGCCGCTTTAAGGGCAAAGGTGAGGCAGCATTGCGCCATCTGGAGAAGCCACTTTTGGCGTGCGAGCCCCGTTTGGACCTTAGCGGACCACCAACTAATTAACCTGATGAGAAAACCTGCCAAGCCCTCATTGGTGTCACGTGTTACCCCACATCAAACCCCAGTTCTGGCCTGTCTGCCAGTGCCAGTCCAACTTCAAGCTTTGACTCGATTCACCACCATCCACCAAGGGACTCTTGAGCTCTTCAATCCCTCCCTGCAGACGTCGGAATGCTGCTTTATTGTCTATAACGAGACGGCCATGGATAGCAGAGATCTAGACGGAGACGGTCGTCTGGCGAAAAAGCCGCGACTATTCATCGCCCGACAGGTACGAAACATGTCCCTTATTCCGAGCGGTTGCTGACGACCTAGGCATGTGAGCACTGCCGTCAGAAGAAGATGCGTTGTGATGAGGGACAGCCGTGTGGTCCATGTAGAACCGTTGGTCTCGAATGTAGCTACGCCGAGCGGAAAGCAACAAAGTAGGTGACTTCTTCCGCTCGTGGCTCAACTGACTGGTATAGGAACGAAGTCTCTTTGAGCATGATACTGCACAAACTCGAACGGATGGATGCCAAGATAGACTCTCTATCCGTCCCGCCAGCGCCAACGCCTACTGCACAGCCCAGTCTGCCCGCCGAGTCTCCAGCAAGTTCCATCTTGTCCAAAACTACACCAATCTTATTCAGTGCTCGGTGCATGTTGTCGTGGCCCGCCATCCGTGATCTTCTCCCCCCTTCACTGAGGGCAGTTCCGGATGACTACGCTCTGAAGCTGGAAGATCAGCGTCCCAGGCTACCGAGACCTGCTCGGAATCAGGACATTGATATTCTGGCCGACTTCAGCATTTCGACCGTCCGAGAGTTAAGCAATGCCTACTTTACAACCTTCAATCTTGCCCATCCGGTGCTTGATCGCAAGCAGTACTTTCAGCAAACCCTGGGAAATGCCATCAGTGGCGGCTTCGGCTACGATGCCGACAGCTGCATTGTTCTCATGACCATGGCACTCGGGACATTTGGGACACGCGCCATAAATGAGTGCCAGCAGCAAGGTCATGAAACGCGAGCACGCCCTTCTCCCGTCCAAGCTCCAACCGAACCATTGGGGCTGGCCTTTTACAACGAAGCACGGAAGCGTAACGGGTTCCTTGAAGGAGACCACACGATCCAGACCTGTCAGTTCTATCTGCTGGCCATGCTGTACCATGCTCAGCTTATACGACCGGTCGATTGTTGGTCCATGTCGATGAGGGCCGCGGTGATTTGTTTGAAGCTGTGGTACAGACCGCCCGAGGCAGACGAATGGACTCTGGACATGTACTCCCGGCTTTACTGGATCACAGTCATGTTCCAAACCGTGCTGACGCAGGAGCTGACCGGGTTGGCAATGTCGCAGATTAGAGATTTGGAGGACTCGGTGCCACTGCCAAAATTTGTATCGTTCCCCCCGGGTTACCCTCCCGGTCAAGAGGAAGAGGATGAATCCTTCTGCCACTACCATTTCCTCGCTCAGATCGCACACCGCATCTTTCTCAGCCGAGTCTATGGCAGCTTGTACTACTTTAGTGAGTCCAGAACACGTCTCCTTGCGATCTTTCTGACAAAAAACCCAGTACCGTCCGCCCACTACCCCAACGCAGCAGTGGCTCAAGAGTTGTATCACCAACTAGACCAATGGCGATCACAGCTTCCAGCACAACTTCGCTTTGACGACGAGACTCCCGTCACTGGACCAGATCCCGTGAGTGAAGTTTTGGTGGTGTCATTACTCCGATCTCGATACTTTGTGGCACATTACCATCTTGGAAGACCGTTTTTGTAAGGCTAATGCGCACTTGGACTGGACTCCTTGGCTAATAGCCCGCAGATACAAGGCTCTCCACCATCCGACAGCATTAACGGAATATGACCAGCAAAGGTGCAAACAGGCATTACGGGCGATCCTGAAATATTCCGAGGTCACTGAGAGTCTTCTCGGCATCAAGGGTTGTATGCCGCTGGCATTTTCCTGGTGTGGCCAGTAAGGATATTCCCCCAACAGATTTCTGCCAGCGACTGACTTCAAGTCAGGGCATTAGGGCAGCTTCTGCTGATGTACGCGTTCCGTCACACCCCAGCCTTGCAGGGTTTTCTGCCTGAAGGCTGGGAACGGTGGTCAGAACGTATCCTCCAAGCATTGCAGGACTTGGCCGGCTTGAGCCCAGCCGTGGCGAAGGACGCAGAGATCGCGAGCATATTGTACTCGACAGTTCCGAGTTGAGAGACATGGTACAGAGCCGCGCCAGTATTCAGCCCGGAGGCAGACTTCCGGGTGCCGGGAATGCCAGATTATTTCTGCCATGAGGTCCTGAGGGAAGCATACATGGCCAGGAATGTATAAAATTCTTTATATAGAAGCCTGTTCGGGAGCGTGCGGAGCAAGGATGGCGTGATGTATACGAGCTCCATGTGCCATTCTCCATGTCCAAGGTATGTTTCAAACATTCTCAAAGCCTGAATCCTGGCCATGATTTACATTATTGTTAATCCTAGGGACAAAAGACCATTTCAACGCGCTCGGAAGAACAAAGTTGAAAAGTTCGTCAGGGAAGCCGACCAAGGCGTGGCCTGCCAACAAACTATTTCACATTGGCCCCGCCATAAGCAGCCCCTTTGACAGCCTGCACGGTCGTTTGGCCCCTGGCCTTGGATAAGGAATCAGTCATGATGGTCGGTAGGGCCGTTGCATCGGTGGCCGCCGAAATCATATGGAATCCTTGGTCCGCATACTGCCGAGCAGACTCGCCTGAAGGACAGTAGATGCCTGCCTTCTTGCCGGCGTCATTTGCAGCCTTTAAGATTCGAGCAACGGCTGCTGTCATCTCTGGTGGGAAGCCACCTTGGAGGGAATAACCCAGATTATTACTGAGGTCGAAAAGGCCGATGAACAATACTACAGCAAACAAAGTCAGCGAACGAAGCCTTTGGGGGCGTTCTGACCTTCCAGAAAAAACTCACCATCTACGCCGTCAACCCGCGCGATTGCCTCGACGCACTCGAACGCTTCCTTGGTCTCGATCTGGGCGATGGTCAAGAGATTGTCATTGGCGGTATTCATGTACTCAAAGGCGCTCATATTGCCCTGGTTGTCGAAGGCGCCCATGGAGAAGGGACTGCCGAAGCCTCGCTTGCCTCGTGGAGGGAACTTGGCAGACTCGACCAGTCTCTTTGCGTCTTGGACAGTGTACAGCAGCGGCACGACGATCCCGTGGGCGCCCGCGTCGAGTGCTCTCTTGACCATCCAGCCTTCGTTGGCAGGAATGCGGACAATGGGAGAGACTCCGACCGACGCGACGGCGTGCACGCTGTCGTGCATTTCATTGTCTGGCGCGTGGGAGAATCAGCGATATTCTGAGGTATATATTAGTGGTAGGGTGATTTGCGCCGCCCACCTGTGATGTTTCCGTGTTCGCAGTCGATACAGATCCAGTCGAATCCGCATCTCGCCATTGCTCTGGACAAATGCGAACCGGGTAGCATCTGCCACGCGCCAAAGGAGGGGCCACTTCGCGTGAAAAGCGCTTTGCGCAAGGTGTTGGAGTTTTCCATGATGCTCGCCATGGTGGTCTGCCTATGCCTACTCTTTCTTCGTCGGGTTTGTGGTTATCGGAATCGGATTCTGCCTAGACCAAGTTAGCTGGACGATGAGGCTTTGCTGGGTGATAAACGGGAAGCGGGCCTCTTGCCTCAAGAAACTAGGAAAACCAGATGAGTTTTGATATTGTTTGGGCTGTCCAAGTTCTGCTTTGACGATTGAAGATACGGGGGATCAGTGGACAAACAGTACAATACAATACAATCCAGACGCGCAGGCGCCGTCATCGAGGACTTCCACGAACACACCCCCACATCCACGCTCACTAATGTGGCCACCAGTGATAGACCTTCCCTGTTCAGTAGCGTTATCGTCGCCAGCAAAACATGGGGAGGCAATGAAAGATTTGTGGGTAGTTGGTTCTGACTATGTAGTTGCATTGTCAGGAATCATTCGTGCATCGATCAGCGCGGACGTCACTTGTGCCGGTCCTCCAAAGGCCGTGGAGACTTCAAAGTGCTCCGGAGAGACGAGTCATGCGTCATGGCGGCAAAGATGCCGAGTACAAGTAGTTGAGCCAGGGGCCCCCTTTTCTCCGAACTGCCGAACACCCAACGAGCCATGTGTGATGTTGCTGCGGATTTGTGGATCTTTCAGTTATTCCCGGCAGGTCAGCTAGACTCCCCGGTGCGTGCGTGATCTTGTACTTGGTACGTTTCATAGGGTGTGTAACAGCAAAATCCCGCCAGCGTCCTCCTAAATAAGTCTTGGTCCGCAAGGAAGCTCTCGTTGCCGACTGAGACGCGGTGGCAAGTTAGGGGGCACGCGGAGTCTCTCACAGGTTCGCACACGAGAAGCTGGACAAGGTGCCTACGATGGACGAGGTTGTTCAAACATGATATATTACATGTGCTGTATTGGACCAAGGTCAACTCTCTTGGGTAGAGGGTATCCCCCAATTGCCTCAAAGAACTTTGCGCCACTTGACAACACCCCGGCCAGATCTTCGCCTATCCAGTCCTTTGCGAAAGCCGCTCGAGTCTGTTCCATTTCGCGCCTGTATTTCCCTGCGACCTAGTGATGATCCGAATATTAGCATTGGCCGCAACGGAAACTGTCTCGTTGACATCAAAAGACAAGAAAAAAAAAACCCCCCCTGAGAACTTACCAGCACGCACGCGCCCTTCAGCCTCGCGTCAACAGCCGTCTGAGCAACCACGCCGGCGACATCTTCCACCGTGTTCGACTCCAGACCCGTCTCCTTCCACCTCTGCGAGTACTCGGCCGTGATGGCCGTCGGGGTAAACGCCGGGGCCACCCCGTTGACACGGATGTTGCCTCGCTTTCTGGCCTCGACTTGAGCCGCGCGCAGGAGGCCGACCACGCCGTGCTTGGACGCGATGTATGCCGACACGCCGGTGCTGCCAAAGTAGCCCGACGTCGAGGCTATCAGGATGATCGAGCCCGGGGTGGCCGGGGTGGCGGTTTTGTTCATGTAGTGCATTGCCAGTTTCAGAGCTGTGTTTTGTCGCAGTTTTCGGGTCAATTCATGATGGCTGTTTGATTGCACATTGACCCGCGAAGACGACTTACTGTTCAGAGTGCCCTTCAAGTTGACGTCAATGACCTTGTATGCTTCCCTGGGCTCCTTGGGCGAGCCGTCCGCCTCGGTGTCGTCCAGATCGAGGACCATGGCGGACTCCATGGTGCCGGCGTTGGCGACGACGACGTCGACCCTGCCGAACCTCTCGACTGTCTTCTCAAACACGCCTCTCATCTGCCGCCAGTCGAGAATGTCGGCCGGCACGAAGAGTGCCTTGTCCGGGTGCGGCAAGTCGGCCACGACAGCTTTCGTGGCGTACCGGGTGTGCTCGAGGTCTGCCATGACCACATTCGCACCGTTGCTGTTGCAGAGCTTGACGGTCGCTGCTCCAATCCCCGCCGCGCCTCCTGTGACAATGACCGTCTTCCCTCCCAGACTGGCCAGGAGGCCCGGGTCATGGTCTATTTGTCGATATCTGGAGGGCATCGTTGGAGCCACGAACAAGAGCCTGCCGTTGTAAAACCACAATGCTGTTCGGTGGAGGGCAGTCGTGGTGGTTTAGTATACGACTTACTTTTCTCTAGGCGACAGAAAGAATCGCACGGGGGACAGAGAAGGTACCTCACACAAGTCATAGGCGTCTGCGCGACTGCTGAGCCGGACTTACCGTGGCATAACTACGTGTTACAAGCTTCACGGGAGATGGCAAAGACATGGCCGCTCACTGGACTTAGTCGAGTTTGTTGGAGTAAAACCAAAAGGACTTTCTTTCTCAACGTTCATCGCCCGGCAGTCTACTAGATCCCCCGGGGGGGAAAAGGACACCGGTTTACATCTGGTGAGGATACGAGTGTTGGATTGCCGAGGTATAGTTATAGACTTTACAATGACCCGCCTATTGGAGATAGAGCTGGTCGCTAGCCTGCTTAAGTAGTCACGGTAGAGCTAAAAGGTCCATTCTCCATACCTCTCTTCCGGCGGTCTGCTAGATCCCCCGCCAAGCAGCACTAAACAGTATACAAGAAAACCAAATGTGGGAACTACGGGTCTTGATCGCCTCAATCACGACTCACGATGTTTCTCCGTCCGCCACAAGGTCGCTGAAAAGGTATCAAAAAGAACCCCCCACCCCTGGAGGCTTTTTTTAAGTCAACGGCGGTGTAAAAATGAGCCTGTTACGGCAATCCTGGCCTGGCATGCCGTTGATAATGTGGAGTGAAGTGACCAGACGTGTCGACTCTGGCATCTCTGGGCAATCTTGTCCTTCGTCCCCCCCCTCCCCCCCAGGTCTGGGCAAGGCTGGCGCTCTCCCCGCCCGGCCTCCACATACGAGATGCACTTTCTCCAAGCGAAGGAAGGGGTTTGTTTGGTCACGATATATCATGAGTTCTGTTTCCCTCTTTTGCTCGTGGCTCTCACATCTTCTACGACCTAAGCAGGTGACCTTCTTCCCACGCTCACACTATTTCTGCTGTCTCTATCCTGGCTGCGGCTATCTTTTTTTTTGTTTTTGTTTTTTGTTTTTTTTGGTTTTTTTCTTTTTTTTGAGCCCTACACACCCCCATCAGCATGGCAGACATCAAGGAGGTCTCGGCGCACGAAGTGGAAGCTCCCAAGACGGCAGAAGTGTCGGCACCCGACCAACTCGCAGACTTTGATCCCGAGTATGCGGCAAAAGTGCGCCACCGCATCGACTGGCGTCTGCTCACGGCCCTGGGCCCCATGTACGCCATCTGCCTGCTCGACCGGTCCAACCTCGCGTCGGCCGCCATCGCAGGCATGACCGAGGACCTCGACATGGTCAAGGGCAACGGCTACAACCTCACCAACATGTGTTTCTTCATCACGTACATCCTCTTCCAGCCGCTGATGGTCGTCGTGTGCCGCAGGATGGGCCCGCGGTGGTTCTTGCCCTTGATCTGCTTTCTTTGGGGTTGCTTGTTGATCGGCATCGGCTTCGTGCACGATTGGCAGACCATGTTGGGATTGAGGCTGATCTTTGGCGTGCTGGAGAGCGGCTACTTCCCCGGTTGCTTGTACCTCCTCAGCACCTGGTATACTCGATGTAAGCCCTCCCCACTCCCCCATACAAAAGCGTGACCAGTGCTGACACTAAATGTTACAGTTGAGAGTGCCAGGAGATACTCCATCTTCTATCTTATCGGGAGCTGCGCTTCAGGATGCTCTGGGATCCTGGCATATGGCTTGATGCAAGCGGACGGCGCAGGTGGGCTTCAGGGCTGGCGGTGGTAAGAATCCCCCATGCAATGCTACATTCCCATAGCAAGGATGGTAAAAAGTGAACGGAGGCTGACATCTCGGTCTCTTTCTAGGATCTTCATCCTCGAAGGACTCATCACCGTCACCCTCGCCATGATCGCCGTGGTGATGATGGTCAAGTTCCCCGACGAAGAAATGACCAAACCATCCCCAAAGTTCCTGACCAAGGAGGAACTGAATTTCGTCACGGCGCGCCTCAACGCCGACCGTGCCGACGTCTCCCTCGAACCGTTCGCGATCAAGCGCTTCCTCGAGCCCGCCACGGAGTGGTACATCTACGGCTTCCCCCTCCTGCTGATGCTGGTCACGACCCTGGCGTACGCGTTCGCCTTCACCCTGCCGACGGTGCTCCGGTCGACGCTCGGCTTCGGCCTCGCGGAGTCGCAGTGCCTGACCGCGCCGCCCTACTTCTTCGCCGCCGTCTTCATGTACATCGCCGGGTGGTACAGCGACAAGTACCACACGCGCGGACCCGTCCTGGTCACCCTCGCCCTGGTCAGTCTCGCCGGTTTGCCCATCATGGGCTGGGCCAAGAACCCCTGGGTCCGGTATTTCGGCGTCTTTGTCACCGTCGCAGGCGCCAACAGCGCCATCCCGAGTATCATGGCATACCAGGTAAAGTTTCCCCCAACATCATTACCCACATACCCAGTACCTCCCTAGTATCAACATCGACTCATTCTCTTGGCCCTTAGGGAACGAATATCCGCGGCCAATGGCGCCGGGCCTTCTGCTCCGCGGCACTGACCGCCATCGGCGGCATCGGCGGCATCATCGGTTCCCTGATCTTCAGGTCTCAAGACGCGCCAAACTATTACCCCGGCTTCATCGCCTGTATTGTGTAAGTCGTCCCATCCCCGTACTGTCCATCCCCAATACCCCTTCTAGAGACTTTGGGACATTTCATGGCTAATACCCCATGTGTATGTGTGGGGGTGTGTGGACAATAGGGCTTGCATACTAGTCATCGTCATCGTCGCGATCATGTCCGTCTACTTCCACCGGTGCAACAAGGCGGCAGATCGGGGCGAGAGGATTCTGCTCGGCGACCCGAACTTTAGATTCACCTTGTGATGGAAATGGGCCTCCAATCATATTTCTCGGAGGGGAAACATGTCCGGGTTCCCCAGTAAATGATGGATGGATGGATTCAGTCATGCTTTTGCTTTCGAGGCATGACAGCCCAAAAAAGATATGAATATGTCATACTACCGAGTAGATAGACAAATGTAGATGCGATGTCATCATGCATACATACATACCAAGCACTTGTCCAGGATCAAGGGACGTGGCTACTCAAGAACGAATCGATGGTCCGCTCGACTCTGCTCAAACGTGGCGACCGTAATATCATATGTCCCATCCTAGATCTCCTGGTGCATGGCGGCTTTCTACCAATACTCGGCGCGCGATGCCGAGACATTCCACTTGTCCGTCGTGTCAAACTCCAGCAGTCCCTCGAGGAACCGCCAGGGGTCGATGAAGAAGCTGATGCCGATCTGGTTGGAGAGGAGGTTATAAACGCGTACGATGCAATGTACTCGGCGGCGAGGAGCGTTGTGTTTTGTGTCGCCGGAATTGCGCATCTATTCCCCCCAGCATGAACGCAGATATCGAGTCAGCCGTCAACTCTCCGGTAGACTTTGGAAGGGGAAGGGACTTCCGAGAAGGTAAAGAATCTGGGTTTGATGGCATGGCAAACTCACCAAGTCGTGTTGATGCGGACTCATGTAGAATTCCGTCTCGCATGGTCCGAGCGACGTTTTGACTTTGAAAAGGCATTCGAGTGGCTGCTTGGACATGTCAGCCCTCGGGGATCCTCACGATTGACATGGATGAATCCTCGGAAAAAGGGAACCCGACCACACACTTACCGGGTTCTCGTCGTCCGCTGCAAGCCAATCAGGTGCCCAGTCAGGAAACACATCTCCAAGCGGTCTTGTACGGAACAACGTGCGGAGCGAGTTATTCTGGTCCGAATACATCATGGCCGCTACTTCTCGTTGCGTCCATCTCGTGACATTCTCGTACTGCTTATGTGCCCGGACTAGGTGTCGAATCTTGCTCTGCCAGTTGTCGAGTCCAAATGTGCCTGGTAACAGAGCTCCAAGGATCTCATAGACCTGCAAATTGCACGAGTTAGGATGCGTTAGAATCCGACACGATAGAACTCTCCTGGATCGAGGTTGTACAACTTACAAATAGCTCCCCGGCAGCGCCCACTCTGAACTTGCTGAGCTGAGCGAAAAGTCACCTCCAAACAGCTCCGGGTACTTGGCAGGGTCAATCGTGTTGACTTCGAGGCTCAATGTTGCGAGAGTCTTCGTGATTCTCGAAAACGTGGGATCTGTATAATTACCATCCACGTGCCTGAAAGAAGAGACCTGCCTACGGACGTGCTCGAGTACTAGCCAATACAGATGTGCCTCTGTGGCATGGGTGGGCTCGGCTGCTGGAAGGGCTCTGAATAGTGGTGAAGGCCGGTCTGGATAACTATTGGCCGCGATTGAACCCATGGCTCGTGTGGGACTTTCAACTTCCTCTAACTTCACCAGAGATATCTGGACGCCTTCAGGCTGTCCATGGAAGATATGCGCCGATTGTGGTTGAAAAGTACCCTCTAGCTCTTCAGCTAGTGGCGTAGGGTTGGGACGGCAAGTCTCGGGAAGCCACGACACTCGCGAAATATCTTCTTGGAGCAGAATGTCGTCTGTGCCGGACTCGAGCTCGTTGAGGATCCGATAGAGCTGCTTCTCGCCCCGGGAGTCGTAGATGTTCAACATCTCTGCTAGTCTCCCAGGCAGTTGACCTCGCATGCACTGCATTCTCTGTACTTTGTCCTTAGGGAGAGTGATGGATAGTCCAGCGTCCTTCTGCTCAATGACAAGCGAAAGCCTGTCAGCCACCACCTCCACAGGAACACTGTCTTGTACAACCACAAGCTTGGTCGACATATCTGCCGATGTTTGGACTGTGGCGGACACGAGATCATTGTACATCTGTGTGTTTTGGTTGGAGTATAGAGTGCTTCGGTGCGAGATGGCGCAACTGACACAGAATTAGACATATTCCTGACACAAAGCTCCTTCTCAAAAGTAAGGCTCACCATGATATAGCATATGCACACAATCGAAACTGTTCTGTCAGTAAATCGTCCGATTCGACACCGTCAGCAGAGGTCTTGGGGCCTACGTGTCGGGTCAAGTAACGGTCGTCAAGGCGAAGAACTCTGAAGAGCCCGTGCAAGGATATCACTTGCTCATATGTGAAGTCCAGCATGAATATTTGGCCGCTGAATTTCTCCCCATCGTACTGGTTGTCCAGAATAAAGAACTTTTCGGATGCAGTCCGAAATATAATGTCACCTGTCTGGGGGTTTTTGCAGGGCAAAAATTGGCTTTGCAATAGGGAATCGACGGATTTTTCGACTTCCGACAATCGATTGTCGGCACTGAGCGACTGGGAGGTTGACAACATGAGCTTCTTGATTTCATTGACATCTTTCTGTGGCCGGGCGGCGGCGGCGGCCAACTGTTTCATCATGAAGCCACTCTTGACGGTGCTGACACCAAGTATGTCCACGAAGAATTCCTGCAACTCCGGGTACATGTTAGCGATGGGCACATGGTTTCCGATGTCTATCGTTGCGTGCCAGATGCACAAGTTCGACTTTAACCAGGAACCGTTGCTCCTGTTGTAGATGAGATCATTTTGTTTGAAGGCCGACCTCAATGGGGTGTTAGTCATGCACCATCCGTCTTAAGGGTTAAAGCCTTTGGCACCCATGATCGGAGAGACACGCGTAATTTCTCATCTATCCAGCCAGATGGGGGCGGGCATAGAGCGGTGACTTGACCTCACTGGGAGTCTGCATAGAGCAGTGTAAGCGTATCATCAGATAACGTAGGAGGATGGTATTCTGTGGCTCCCAAGACTGCCTGGTGGTGGGTAGTTGATAGGAATGAATTTATGTGCAAAGCTAGGCATGTATGGGAGTGAGTGCCAAGACGCTAAGGCTCTGATAGCGACTCCGCCTTATCCCAATCTAGCAATTCATGCCGACGCGTTATTAACAGAGGGTATTCGTGGTGTTGGTGGTAATGAACGAGGTATAGTTCGGGCTTTATATAACATATATGTACATTATGTTGTCGTCAAACTACGCTTTATCCCCATGGCTCTGTTGGTACAAGAAGAACACCGTCGACAGACGAGTCTATCTCTGGGGAGGGTCGATGGTGCACCACCACCAAACGCTCCGCACTCCGCGATTCGAACACTATGACGTGAGATACAATCAACCCAGCAAACGCTGCAACTCTTCTAGAGTCATTCTTAACTGCAACGGATCGAACGGTTCGATTTCCTCCTCATCGAAAGCCAAAGACCCATCTTTGTCTAAATCATGAAGGAGCATCTCCAGGATAGACGCGGCTATAATCTGGTTGAACCTTGTAATGTCTTTCACCAAGTTCTCGTTCTGTAGTAGTTGGCGCAAGAATCCGTAGACTGGAAGATCGCGTGGCGGGCTGGCAATGAAAGGAAACAGCGCTTTCCATTGTGAGGGATTCGGCGCCTCCCATAGATTGTCGGGGCAAGGGATCCGCAAATTGATTCCGTGGCTAGCGATCCTCGGTGGGCTGTTGGAGAGCAAGCAGCACTTGTAGTGCAGTACCTAAGGCCACGGTACAGGTTAGCAAGTACTGTTCCATGTTGAGCACATCTTTGGATCATCCGAGTTGAGTGACGCCGACGATAGAACGTACAATAATGGCCCAGGTGATTCTTTTCCGCTGTTCGCATAGGCTCCAATTGAGCCATCGATCTTCCAGAGCTATCGCATCCTGGCTTTCCAAGATTTGCCGCACATCCTCCGCACCCACTGAATGTGTCCGGATGTCTTTACCGGGCGATCTCTCGCCGACCTCGGGTGTTAAGAGCTCCATATGCTTTGCCCAACTCACCACACGACCTTGAGCGGAGAGTACATCTCCCAAAAATCCGTGGTTGCAAGATCGAACAATATGGTGATACGTCAGACTGAGGGCGGTTATCACATCCCATCTGTCCTCTTGCGGAAATCGGTCTTCTTGAGGTAGCACTCTGCCATGCGTCGACGTTGACCTGAAACTCAACCCTGAAGATAGATTGCAAACACCACCAAATGCTGTCACAAAATACTGTTGTGCGCGTATAGTAGAGACATAGCTCGCGCCGATCGCAGTGATGGTCGTCAAGAGTAATGGGGAGCAGGTTGTAGGAGATAACGTTGCTTTGTGGAGGATCGGTAGTGCCTTCAGGAGGTCAGTATCTCGCGGACAGCGCCTGTGGAGCCCATGCTTGGTTGATGTTCAAGCTTCCTTACCTGATGATATCGACTGAAATAGATCCCCCAGTATGTCTCTACTTCGTCAGATGATATAATCGACTCGTCCACAATTGAGGATGTAGTCATCGCCTTCAAGGTTTCGACGACAGATATTTGACTTGACTCCCAGTCAGGCGTCCAAATGCTCTGGTCCCATACTTGAGCACGGCCGTTGAGCCGTTCTTTGGTGGAGATTCTTGTTCTAACTTCAGTGGCTCCTGTCTGAGATCTACTTGTGAGAGAAGAATGTGATGACTGTGGAGATGCCGTCTTGTCGAATCTTGTCCTATAACGGTGCACAGCGTCTGTCTCAGGCGGATGATCTGACGGAGAAGGTCTCGAGTTACGTGGTGGTGGTTTATGTAGACTGTCCAGAGCTGAGTCCCAGAAGATACTGGTGAACTTCGGCGAGAACTCGGCGTGGTCAATATCGAGTTGGAAGGGAAAGATCTCACTAACGTGTTTATCGTGATCGTGGGCAGGAGTGGTTTCGGCTCCGAAGGCATTGTGGGATTCGGAAGGATAGTCGGTTTGCATTCTAGGAGATGCACTGATTTCCGTGGTTGGAAGGCCCTTGTCCAACAGCTGGCCAGTTTCAACGTTTGGTGTGAGTTCATTAAGCGGTCTATATGTCTCTTGGCCAGTGTCGTCAGCTTCAATGGTTCTGTCGGCGTTGGCAGCGTGGCTTCTCTCGGGTACAGGCTGGTGGTTTCCCCTTCCAGGCCCTGAGATTTGCTCCGAGAAAGGCGATCTGTCTTCAGAGAGAAAATCATATTGGCATCGCAGGCCTCTTTCCGCACATCGATCGCAGACGGAGCCTCGACTACAGCTAACACGGAGCCTAGGGAAGAAGGGTTTAGTGAGCCGAAGTCGCCTCTGTGCTGAGCGTTGTCATGGTCGAGATACTCACACTGCACATCTGATACAGCTCCTTCTCCTCGTCTTCTTCGGCTTCTTCATGTGGGTGTTGGCCTCGTGTTTCATCCTGATGTGCCGTTGGAGGACATCTTTGCGTGAATACGATCTGTGGCATATGTTGCACTTCACTGAAGCAGTTGTCGGACCCGTCGTTCTAGTCATTCTGGTTCCTCCCGGTGGAAACATGGTGAGGACGTCGGTCGAAGACATGGTTAGGCTTGAGGGTACGGGTCGTAGGGAGATGGGCGCATCGTGCCTTGCCTTCTGTCGGCACGATATGATGTTCTGAACCTTGTACGCTGTAACAATCACGAACTTTGACACACCATGGAATGGACCCGAGAGCAGTTCGGCTTCCGGAACAATATGTAGAAGTGCGGGGGTCGGTGTTTCCAAGAAAGCAACTCGGGCACGCACGTCGCGGCGCGTTTCCCCCAAAGAATTTGAAACGCCGTGGGGTCCTGATCTGATGATAGATCTCTACACCCTGACTCATCGATATATTAATCTCGACAATGTCACCTTCAGGCTATACGCAGCCGATTCCCAGCGGTGTTCCGCCCTCCGCGGGTCTCGAGCAGGAAAATCAGCACCTCAAACAGCTCATCAGCGCCCTTGGTGAAACGCTCCAGCAGGCGAACCAGATCCTTGCCCAAGCTGGCCCTTTCCCTTTTCAGTCCCACCAGAGTACTTCTGTACAAGATTCTCGCACACAGCATGGCTCGGTCACATTGAGCCATCAAGGAATAGAGGAGACACCAGACTGGCGGCGATTTCCTGTTCAGAACGCGGGCACAGAGTGGAGCGCTCTACAGTTCTCGTCGGCCTTTCCATCCGTTCAACCACCTCTGGACGACCCCGGGCGGTCTGGTAACGGCCTACCGCAAGAACCTGATGGCATGGAGGACTGGCTCGCCATAATATCCACGCCTAAACCCGATGATCGTCTGGCCGAAAGCTATATGAAAGAGTTCACGCCGCAGGAGCAAACATATGCGTCAAGGCACCTGTCGGTACCGAAACCGTCCCTGTTCTGTCAAGACATTCTCCATTTCGAAGGTATGATCAAATATATCATGCTAACAGAGCCAGAGCCTGATGTCCCTGACCGGTGGGTTGAATGCTCCTCTTGCTTTGGCATATAGACAATCTGACCACCTCACCAGCTTGGACATGCTGATTGAGAAGATGCTTCATACGCTTGTCTCAGAGGACTATTGGCATTGGACCAAGGCGTACTTCACCGAGTCCCTAGCTTGGAAGCATGTTGGTCCGATAACGAGATTTCGGATAGAACCAACCAAGGAAAATTATGACCGCCTGCCTGCGCGATTTCGACCCTCGCAGATCCAGCTCACCCGATTTCACTGGCCCATAATAGACTGGATCCTCTGGCCACAGCTTCGAGATAAGCTGATTTTGCAGTCGGCAGAGTACGATTTGACCGACTTTATTTCCACCATTATAGCGGGTTACTGCTTGGAAGCCGAGATCACCGAGGAAACGGAAGAAGATAGTCATGGACATGAAATGGCCAGACCGGCTGTAAGGAGTCAAGGCAACTCGACGGGAGTTTCACGTCCCAAAACTCGCAAAAAAGCAGTCTACTATCGATTACAAGAGTATCTGGAATACACCCAACAACTTCCCGTCGAGACCACCTTGACAGAGAAGAGAACGCAAGGAGCTTTGGTATCGGATGTGCTGGAAGCCAAATTCTTGTCCGCGCTGCAGGCTGACCAATCCCCTTTCAAGCTCGAACCTACTGTTTTCGAACGGTTTCCTTCGCTTTACGTCGAGGAAGCGGTCGCACATGGGGTCTACAGATCCATTTTCAGCCCTCACGTCGAGTCGACACGGTCTCGCGCAAGTGGGTGAACAGGATTAGCACCCCTGCCACCACATTGATAAGCATTTGGTCCAGGATAAAAAGGAATCTGGTGTTCAAGTAAGACGCCAAAACTTTCTGTCCCTGAATTCGACGCTCAGCCTTGTCATGTCGGTGCAAGTGGGGACGAATCTGGGTGTCAAGAAGGGCCCTCGACGGGCGAGTTATGTCACCTTACAGAACAATCACAAAGACACAAGAGAGAGGGACATGCCAAAAGAACTTCCATATTTCGTAGACCGTAGTCGGTAAATCCACGAGGAAACTAACAATGACAATTTCACAATTTGCTCAACTTCATCCCGTCGAGCGCTCTCCCCTTGGCGACGCTATCCTCCATCATCTCCTCGAGATTGACCCGGCCCGCAAACCTGGCCTCGACGATGTAGTCGGAGGCATAATTGCCATAGGGCAGGACGGGTCTGTAGATGACATCTTCACCGCTGCACTCGGCCGCCTGGCCGGTGATGGAGGGGTCCGAGATGAAGCCCTGCACGGCGCGCGTGATGGTGGTGTATGGCGTGAGGAGCTCCTTGGGCACGACCTCGACGACCTTCTGACTGACCAGGGGAGTTGGCACCAGACCCGGACAGATGCAGTTGACTGAGATGGGTTCGTTCATCTCCTTGAGACGTTTTGCCAGAGATCTCGTCAGGCCGATGACCTAGAAAGAAAAGAAAACCGACGACAATCTCTCAGCCAACATTTTTTTTTCACAAATCTCACCGTCAACGTATTCAGCAACCGTCGGAAGAGTTTGATCCAACTTACGCCATGCTTCGCGGCGCCGTACAGCGGCACCGGAGCCGCGGGATACAGACCCGCGAGACTGGACGTCGACACCAACACGCCCGACTTTGAGGGGTTTTTGCGGAAGAAATGGAGAGCCAGGTACGCGGTCCAGACGACGCCGTCGAGGCACACTTCGAGGACCAGCTTGTCGGGCTGTGCTGGGAACCCGCTGGCCGTCTCGTCGGCTGGAGCACAAAAGTCGATCCGGTCACCGAAACCCTACAACACAATATCAGATTTCTTTTGTTTCTTTCTTTGACGGATCGAAGTTGATCCGTTCATTAACTTAGGTTTGACATGTACTAACAGCATTTGCATGAACTTGGAAGAGGGTTTCTTTAGCCAATGACTTCTTTCTCGTCCACAATACCAGGCCGGGACACCAGGGGGGGATCAATGCCAACATACCGAAATCCAAACGACCCCATTTCTGCCAGGACTTTACAAAAGCCTGTCCGACACTCTCGTAGCTGATGACGTTGGCACGGACGAAGAGCACTTGACCGCCCAGCCGCTGTTGGACCGCTTTTCCGGCCTCTTCGTTGAAGTCGACGACGGTCACGTTCCAGCCTTCTCGGACGAGGTGTTCGACGACGGCGAGGCCCATGCCGGACGCTACTTTTCTGTCAGCCAGAGGACGGGGAAGGGGGGGTTGTTCACACAGCAGCCGCTGGGGTTCGAAGGATGTCCACAGTACCTCCTCCAGTAACGAGGCCTACGCGAGAGGCAGAGGTCGTGGAAGCCATGATCGAGCAAATAGCTACTCTCTCTTTCTCTATACTAACAAGTCTCGGGAAGTGGAAAGTATATCTCGACCTCTAATCAATGATGGGCTTTTGGATTTGGATCAAAGATAAACAAGAAAAAAAAAACTACATCTCCATCGCCTACATGGACCATCAACTGGTCTTTTTCCTTATTCTAACAACAATGACTAACAGATTCTGCTGTCAACCATGTATCAAAAGACAGCAGACAAACAACCGGGTTTGACCACCCGCCACGCTCCGTCTACCGAGGGATGAAATACATACCATATGGCCCACACATTCTTTTGCCGCGATTTCTGGTGGGAAACGAGTCAGAACACAGCTGGGTTTATGACAAGACGGAGTTTGCGTGTGTGGGTGTGGTGTCAGCGGGGGCGCTCGCTCCTGAGTGGAGGCATGACCTTCCCTGCCTTCTTACCCCGGAATCAACCATTCCCAGACGAGAAAACCCGTTGTGGAGACGGAGAATGGCGAGTCATGTCGGTACAGCACGTGTCTCTTTCGAGGTTCGCGTTTGATTATTGTGTCAAGGTTGTGTTTGTAGTCTTGCAACAATGGCAAAAGTAAGACTAGAACTTATCTGGCACCTAATTGTAATTGTGTAGCTTAGGTCCCATATACCCCATGTCACCCTTCCTAGCAAGTAGGGGCTTTACGACAGCGGTCATTCAAAAACCGAACCAGGTTATTCAAACTAGCTTAATACTCGTTGCAGCAGTTATCCAGCTCCCCGCACGGCAATCAATCCCTCCTCTTCCGCACAGTCAGAGGCAGAGCGCCCTTGACAATGGTCATGTAGCTGCGGATGTCGTCCGCGAACCGCTTGTGGTCGAAATCTGGGGCCATAATCAGGTCGAATCGCCTCAAGAGCGTCGTGATCAACAGTCGCTGTTCGAGCATGGCCAGCGGTCTCCCGGCGCAGGAAAAGGTTCCACTACTAAAGGGTATGTATGCTCGTGTGTCGTGGTTCCATGTCGGGTCACGCTTCTTCTCGTCCCATCGGTCTGGGACGAATTCGGTGGGTCTGGTCCAGTACCTGGGGTCGTGGTGTAAGGAGAGCGTGTTGGACGAGACCTAGGCAAAAGATTAGATCCGATAACAAAAAGAATTTAAAACGTGGCTGCTTACTGCCGTGTTCTCTGGAATGAATATCCCATTGACCATGTGACCCCCCTTGTTCGTGTATCGCTGCATTCCATTCGGGCCCGGCGGCATGACTCTAAGAACTTCCTGGATGCACATGTTCAAGAATGGAAGTGTCTCAGGACCTAATAATAACAGATTAGTATGTGTCCGGGCACAAGTTGGAGTGGCGGACGCTCACCTAGCGAGGAGCCTTCCAGTGGTTTGACACCGTCCCAGTGCTGATCGATTTCTTCGCGCAGACGATGATAAGTTGCTTTGTCCGAGCAGATGTAGTAAAACATAAAGCTATAGCCCGATCAGCAAGGGAAATTCTCGGCGAGCGCGAGGCTAGAACACGGCAGATTTTCAACTCACGTAATAACCACAGCACTCGTGTCACTTCCTGCAATAAACAGTGTTGGAGAGTCGGCCTCCAGGTCATCTTCGGACGAGATACTGGTAGAATCGTCAGTCTGGACAGCAAAGGGAAGAGCAGACGCATAACCGACATTTCCTTGTCGTTGCCAGCAATGATGTGTGAGAAAATGTCCACAGGGGAAGTGCCAAACTCTCTTCTTTGCTTGTAAAAGTCCGAAGCCAGCCGCCCGAAGCTGAGAGCTTTGTGGATTAAGTCCCGTCTAAACGGGGTCAATGTGAAGTAGGATGATATCCATGGGACCTGAGCAAAGATGGCATTCACCATGACGCCAGTACGAACCCAGTCTGAGAACTCGCGAGGTCCGTCTGAATACTTTTGTCAGTAGTGTGCTAGGGGAAAACGACAAAGGCCTAACAGTAGGCCTTACCTTCGTTGAGCAAGCCAACTGTCTTGTTGAAAACCAAGTCTCCCATGGCGTCGAAAGCAAAGTAGTCTGCCCACTTCGCAAAGTCCACGACTTCGCCTACGTCGAGACGTCAGCGTCTAACGTAGACATGTACCCACAGCTGAGCTACAAACCGTCATGTTTCTCCAATTCCGTACAGAAAGTATCAATCAGACTCCGAATACGAGGCTCGTATGTCCTTAGAGCCTTTTGAGCGAAACCGTGGTCCCATATTCGGCGGCGGATTCTATGGTTCTCCCAGTCTCTCGTTGACGGCAACGGCACGCCATGTCCGCTGTTATTAAAGGTATTGGCATCGTAGAAGGGACCTTTGGTGAGTCGAGCTCCCTGTGGACCGTGGAGATACTTGACTGAGCCTGTGTCGCCGAAAGAGAGCTCGTTCGGGCCGAATCGGACAATGTCACCGTACTATAGAGTAGTAGAGATCAATGTCGTGCTCTCTTGAGAACCGACCGGAGACCTTGTTATATAGTAACGTACCTTGGCGTGCATGGCAGGGAGCCACTCATGCATGCGGCCAGTGGCCATATAATATGCCGAAGTCCATCTCGTCAGTTTCCCAAGCGTTGGTCCAGGAAATCTCCGTAGAGGGTGAAGAAAGAGTCGGTAGACCGTGATGCTGAGGCTGAGGGCTGTCAAGTAAAGACCTGTAAACAAGACCGTTGACGACCTCACGGTTAGTGGGCCTTGGGGTATGCGCGTAGTCAGAACGGCATATAAGGCGACGAGGATCACGAGATTACGGAAGAATGAGGCGACAGTAGGTTCTCTGCGATTGTACACGGCGTGGGATACCTGGACGATTTGCGCTGTCAATAACGTACAACATCAGCCTTGACTCTTGCCCGACTCACCAAAGCTGTGACGATGGCCAGCCCTGCAGGTGCTTTATAGTCGGTGAAAGAGCGCATCTCGGCTGGCACGGCTTCAGCGTTGAGGTTGTAACAAAATGCGGTGTTCTTGTTCAGGTCTGAATAGCATGGGCAGCCGTGGAACCGTAGGTAAAAGTCGACAGTATATCACTACCTCGTACACTCACCTCCCCCTCTCTCTTGAAGAGGGAAATGCCGTGGACATTTCTGAACACGGCCAAGTCGAATCTTCTCTTTGCCATTGTAGAAAGCCGTATTTCGTGGCGGGGTGCCGATCCAGGGTGCTGGTGTAGCAGACAGTAATGCACCCTCCGCCAAAAAACTCCGGTTTACCACATTTACCCAAACTGGATGAGCGGACAAGTGGAGCTGTACCTCGTATGGTTTCCCGAGGTCAAGCTGCGGTTACAGACCAAGCCAACTATGACAAGATATTCATGACTGGCCAATCGAAATTGGGAACGCGCATCAAACACATGGGAATCTTAGTCTTTGGATCAGTAACAAGGAAATACACGGTTATCAAGCCTTAGATGGGCCAGGTGGCTTCGTATACCTGTATGTAGGCAGGTATGTACATATATATATCCCGAGCCTTACCTGTGACTGTCACGCATTCTAAGTCATGGGCACCCTTTCGAAGATTGTTATCGGTGCTCTCTTGGAAGTATGCGGCGTTGACTCGTCTCTGGTTGTGTTTTTAGTGTCCTCTCCTCACGCCAGCGGCGACTTGGCTGTTCATCTGGGATTTTGTCGATTGCAGCAAGAACGCCAGGGCCAGACTGAGCGCTGTGAATGGGATCAACGAGTACCAGATGAAGCGGAAGCTATCCGCATATGCCTGCGCACTCGCCGCTTCAAAGACACCCAACAGCGCCGGCGTCACCCTTGGCAATTTCAAGAGCTGCGACGTGGCCCCACTGGCGGCGAGTTCGATGAATTCCTCCAGTTCGGAGCCCGGCAGGCCGGCTTCCAGAAGTGCTTTCGAAACTTGCGCGGGCCATTTGATCGAAACCTCGTGGTGGAAGATCTGGCTGAAAATGACGATCCCGATGCTGCCCCCCAACGCACGGATCGACGCTACCAGGCTCATGGCGGTCGCAATGAGCATGTTGGGTGTGCACACGCCGACGATCACATACAAACAAGTCATCTGAGCGCCGATGGCGGTACCCATGAGCAGGGTCGGGAAGAACCACGCGGCAACGTTGATGTGTGGCTCCATCACAGCCATGAGGCCGACGCCGACAAGGAGGAACACAAAGGACGTAATCACAATCCCCTTGGCCTCCTTGAAGATGCTCATGAGAACCCCACCGATGACGCCTCCGAGGACGGAGCCAAAATTGAAGGGGATACTGTAGACGCCAGTCAGAACAGCGTCCTGGGTGAAAAGAATAGCAATCTCTTGTGGGAGGTAGGCTTGGCCACCAAACAGAACAATCCCCCCAACAACATTCAGTATGACTGCGATCATAAAGTTTCGATGTTCGAAAAGTCGATGATGGAATAGTCCGACCTTGGTCCCCTTCCACTCCCAGATCCCAAAGACAACAAGAACGATCCCGCCGATGATCAAGGTGCAGAGGACAATGGCGGAAGCCCAGCTGTAAGGGTTTCCACCAAACTCTAGACCGACCAGGAAGAGAACCAAGCCTGAAGCGACCATGAAGACTCCGGTCCAATCGAGGTGAAGGACCTTGGACAGCATACTGGTGTCTTCCTCAACCGGCCGTGGGGCGGGGTGGTAGAAGAAAAAGACGAGCACGAAAGTCAGGGCGTAAAACCCAGCGGCGACGTAGAATCCGGCTCGCCAGCCCTCCTGAACACCACCGACATCATTCTTGATGAATAGACCTTGTATAATAGGTCCAATGAGGATTGCTAGGCCTGCGACGCCACCAGCCACGGCCTGTAGGATCGGTCGTTTGTCCTTGGGGACTATCTCGGCGACCATGGGGATGGCCAGGTAGCCCAGAGTCAGACCACAACCGTTCAGCACTTGGCCTCCGATAATCATCTCGACGCCGTCTCCTCGACTTGAGACGATGGTGCCCACCAGACCAAGCACCATGCCCCCCAGCAAAAAGATCTTGCGGCCCAGGATATCAGACAGTTCTCCGGCGAAGGCCTGGATCACACAATTGGGTATAGTCGCTGCCGCAGCGATCCATGCAGCCCTTGAGGCGCCCTTGGGGTAAGCCTGCAAGATGAAGGGGATGGACGAGGATGGCACAAGCAGGCCCCATGTGGACGCAAAATAGCAGAAGAGCAGGGCCGTCAGATTGAGGTAGAGGGTGATGTCCCACTTGAAATTCTGCGAGCTCTCTGCAGCCAGCCTCGCCTCCTCTTTGGTGGCCTTGATGCCAGTGTCGAGAGCCTCGAAGACAATAGGCTCCTCCAGGTCTTTATGCTCAATCTCTTGCTCCGAAGGGTTGTGAGCCTTTTCTTCGGCCATTTCGATTCTGAACTGGTGTTCTGGTGGTACGATGAAGTCTTGCGCTGCCAAACGAGTCTCGTAAGAAACAACTCGGGAAAATTCATGTTCCACAGTACGGCGACTGGGAAGAGCTTTGGAGCTTTTTATCGAAGTGGCCTAGGACGTTCACCCATGTTGCGCACCCCATGGGGTCAACACAGTTTCCAGGCTGAATCGTGCATAATGCGCTTGTCCTATCCTTGTGTCCTCTCCACGACTCCTATGTAGAGCTAGGGGGTTCTGAGCGAGTCAGTGGGGATTCGACTCCAGTGGACGTTGAATCAGTGCTAATTCGAGCTAGTAGACCAATACGCATTTTCAGTGGCCAGACGAGCATGGCGATTCAGCTGACTCGGTATTCGTGCCGTATTTTGACAGTGCTGGAGATGCACCTATCGCCCATCTTTTTAGAGCTGAATCACTGCTTTGCATGAGCCAAGGCACATCTCTCGTAGTCTCGCCATCTCTTTTTGACGATGGATTAGCGTGCTCAGGCTGGTTGCTCTATGTTGGCTGAGAAAATCAAGGGTCGCAGCTATGCTGGAAAGTTAAGCTTGACCTCCGTTCGACGTCTCCCAGATTGTGGCATAAGAGGTCGAGGATCGAAAAGGTACGCGTCAATGGCGTTCAGTAACAAAGAACCTTGCAGACTTGGATTGGTTGGGGGACAAATCGCGGGGTTGATTTGGAATCGATCTGAAATTCTTCGGCATCTTGTCCGAAGCATTTTAGGGCTTTCACTCGATCCCATTTCAAAGTAGCGAGGACCAGATCATAGCATCATCACCATCACCAGTAGCAGCAGTGTCCATTGACGCAAGCAGAGAAAAGAGTCATGAGCATCGTAGTAGCCTTCGATCTCTACGGCACTCTCTTGTCGACAGAGAGCATCGCCAAAGAATTAGCCTCACACTTTGGCCAGGAAAAGGCCGCCTCCATCGCTGCAGTCTGGCGAAAGTACCAGCTGGAATATACATGGAGGCTGAACAGCATGAGTAGGTCTTGGACTATGTGGCACACGGACTGTTGGCGCTGATCTCCTCAAGAACAATATCAGGATTTTTCAGACGTGACCCAGAAATCTCTCGGACATGCACTGGCTGAGCATGGTTTGAGTCTCAATAGTGCTCAGACTGGCAAGCTCATGCAAGCATACGACTCTCTATCCACCTTTCCAGATGTCAACCCAGCACTGAAGCGCCTGGAGAGTAACCCAAACATCAAATGCGTCGTCTTCTCCAATGGGACCAAGGCCATGGTCTCCAACTCGGTCAACAAGTCTAATGATCTCAACTCTTCAGTGTTCAAAGACCTTGTCACTGTGGATGCTGTCAGAGTATTCAAGCCCGCACCCGAGGTGTATAACTACTTGGCAAAGCAAGTCAACAAGGTGGGCGAAGAAGACAAATTGTGGCTGGTGTCGGGAAATCCATTTGATGTTGTGGGTGCTCGCTCTGTGGGCATGCAAGCTGCATGGGTGGATCGATCAGGGACAGGATGGCAGGACAGCTTAGGACTTGGCCCGACCGTAGTGGTAAGAAGTCTGGAGGAGGTAGCCGACGTTGTTGAGCGACATGCAGCAGGCCCCAAATAGGGAGAGCGCTGCGTGACAACCGTGGGTCATGCTACATTATCTTGATAGGGCTCGGGGTTGGGTGTGATGGCGGCTTCTCTAGATCGACGTGCCTTTTCCATTTTGGCTGCCCATAACGCACTCCCTGCTGCAGAAGTAAGCAGGAAGAACATGCTGAGCACGGGGACAAGCTGCAACACCAGCGTCACCACGCCGAACCACGTGTATTTGAGCTGACGGTTCCTGATGTATTCTTGTCTTTCTTTCTTGGAAAACCCCCGTAGCTTGAAGTACCTCCAGTGGTGGAATGGGCCGGCTCGATACCCAGTCAAGAGGAGGAATATTGGAACGCCAACAAATGGAACGAGGTTGACCGGGAGAAGAATGATGAACTCGGCGATTTGGCGGAAACTGAACGGAGCATAAATCGCGGAGGATGTTGGCTTTCCAAGCATTTGCACAGAGTTCTGCGCAATAGGATGAAGTGTACGGCCATCATTGACAAGATCTGCCAGCCCTTGGTCAATAAGGACGGCATCAAAGGTATCCACCAAAGTCTCGTCAACGAAGAAAGCCTCGAAGAGAAGAGCAACAATCGCGGCACCTTCACCGAGCACGAGAAACGTTGCATTCACCCATGCTCCTGCTCCGTGGAAGATGGCCAGGAACGCGACTTGTGGGAGAAATGTCCAGAGGAAAAGGTTGGCGTAGATGAATGCAGATAGAAGCACGATGGGGATCAGTCGCGCCTTGAAGAGAGGGTAGAGGTAGGGGTGGAAGAGGAAATAGAAGATGCCCTGGTACAGTAGATAAGTTAGACATGGTAATATCCCTGGCTGATAAACTTACCTTCAAAGGGTAGAGCCAGACGGCATCCCATAGTGAGAAACACATCCTTGACCGCCCATCTGCCGCCATTGTCACTGCAAAAGGTAGTCTATGGAACTGGTTGAGAAACGCAAGGGGGAAAATGTGCAAAGTCACAGG